TGGCAGCGGAGGAAGTGCAGGAAGCCGTTCAGTCTGTGCTGCTCACGCCTCAGCATGTTGAATGAACATCAACAGGCGCCTCGTTCGGATCGGCACTTCCACAGATGGCTGTTCACAGAGCAGTCAAGTTCTGGTAAACGGCATAGCGTTGAATGGGCGTATTGCATACGTTGTGGCCAAATGTTAGCATCAGGTGAAATTTAATTCATTAACAGAAGCCACGCCTCCAGGAAGCAATCGCTTCTGAACAGCCACGGGTCCAGACTGCCTTCACGAAGCAAAACGTAGAAGAATGGGCTGGATTTTATCAGACTGGGTTTCCATCTGCTGTAAACAAGAACAGCTGACAGTAAGAAATGTTAGTAGAGATTAAAATATAGCACAGTGTGTGTATTTACTTTGTACATCATATTTTAATAACATGAGTCTTCATTTATTTCTACTGTAATTTGTCTAGAGGTACTTGAATGTGCTGAAAATCCTGCAGGATGATCTGGATCACAGCTGAGTTCAGGAAGTTAAAGCAGGTCTCGTCTGGTTGTACGTCTCTCTGAAGATAAAAATAGAAGTCCTGTGTTTCCTTTATTCAGGTCAGGAGAAGAAAAACTGACTCCAATACACTGACCCCCATAAATATAACTAGCACTGGAGAAAAATGCAGCTTCCTTTACTTATTTACCCGTATCAATAAAACTCATCCAGCCACTCGGCTCTGAAGCCAATGTGTCAACTTTTATCTGATTCTCTACAGTTTAAACATTTTTCTGCTCTTGATGACTAATTTTTCAGTCTGAATGTGATGTTTAATCTTTAGATAAAAATAAGTTCAGGAAATGTTTTCAAAGAAAACATATTATTTTGGAAGATATTAATCTTGAAACAATTCCACTATAACTGTGCAGAAGATGTGGAGGATTTAGGTGGTCGTCAATCATCGCTGCCTCAGTGATTTCTTCAAAGATGTATTCTGGAGTCTGAATATCAATGAGTTTTAGTTTTTTACTTGCATAAAGTTCCTTCAAACGCAGCATGTAAACAGTCTCCACCTGTCAGATCAGGTGTAAGGTTCTAGTAAACAAGAGAGCGCTGCTAATTAACCTTCATCCCATGGGGAACGCTCAACTTCTTGAAGTTTCGTTCAGTGGTGAAACACGAGGAGGAAGACTAGACAAAATGCAGTCTCATTAGAATCAAATGTTTTATATGCATTCAATTTATAAAACTTGACTTTTTATTCTGTATAATTATGTAAAGAAGTTTTGTTTTTTACTTTAATGTGCCTGTAAATGTGGAGACCTTCTGGTGACCCAACACAGAGCAATCGGCTCCAGACGGAGTTAACCAGCTAACTGTTTGACATGATCAGAGGAGTGTAACTTTACTAGTTTAGCTATTGGCAGATGGTTTATAGATACCGCAGGTCCTCTGTGTAAGCTGCCTGGTTCTCTGCTGGTTCTTTCTGTTCTGCTCCATTTTCCTGCTCATCCTGGGTTTTCTCCTGAAGAGCTCCTTATTATTTTTTACTAAAACTCTTTGCCACAGTCCGTCTCTGCACTGGGCTCCTTCGTTAACCACAAAACACCGGAGTTCCTTCAGTTCCTCCTCTTCATCAATGAAACGGTTCCCCCTCCCAGTGTCTCGGATGTTCACCATGTTTGGTAGCATCGATGTGCAGCAGCTGATCTCTGGTTAGGATGAGCAAGACGACCCTTGGTGGAGTAGGAACCGTCTTACTGGTGCAAATCTAAGAGTTTCCACAGCTTAGAACACAAAGCGTTGATGAATCTGCTGCCATAAAATAAGACAGTCCAGCATCTTCCTCATGTCAAATAACATGAAGAGTAGAGAAACAAAATGTTTCACTCCTATGCTGTGCAGTAATAAAGATCCCAAAACATTGACTTAGTTGTCCTTAAGCCACTTTATAACTGGTTTGGTGGTATGATGGGATCATTGTCCAATTAGAAGACCTATTTGTGGTCAGCCTTTAACCTCTTGGCTGATTTAATGAGATGTTTTAATGAAAATCACTTGGCAACATCCTGCTGTCATCACCTGAACAAGCTCTTTGAGAAAAGTTAAAATGTATTTTAAAAACAGAAGAATCAGTCCAGATGGCGTCTTCTGAAGTATGTTTTCCAGGAACTGCACAAGTGATCATCTCAGTGCTTTACAGAAAAATGGAAAAAGAACACATTAAGTTTTTATACTTAATCAAATAATAAGTGTGTCTAATAATTATTCATATGAGCTAGATCTCTCTGAATTCTCCTTAGGGGGGGGGATGTGTGTGTGTGTGTGTGTGTGTGTGTGTGTGTGTGTGCACCAGAACCCCTCGTGGGATAAGTGTGTCGGAGGATGGATGAATGGATAAACTTGAGCTACACCTCCATTAAAAACAAAGGTTTCTGTTCTGAATGATCTGAAGTCCGATCTGTTCAGGTTCTGTGATCCAGAACAGCTAACAAGTATTTCAAGTTTTCCTTTGGGAAATTGGATCATCAAAGCTAAAAGTTGTATTTTAAATCTGTCAATTGTAATATTAAATGTTTCTATTGCCATTTTTAACAAAAAAAAATCTAATTAATTATAAATCTCCTGTGGGATTGAAAGGAAAAATGCAAAACCTGACAGGAAACTCATTAGCGGGTCATTGGAGTACATTTAAAATGTCCATTAAGTTCAGGAATGATAAATGGACAAAAGGCAGATTAATAAAAACTAAACAAATGAAAAAGCCACAGAAATAAACTTTAATTAAAGCTTCAAGCAGCCTCGAGCAGCCCTCGCAGCTCAGCGCCGCTCCGGCCTATTGGCCACCGCAGGGTCCCAGCACCGCCGCCCGCCAGCCCCCGTGGATGCTCTCGCGCAGCTCCCGCACCCGTCCGCCAGACCGTACTCATCAATGAGTTCTGCAGCGCTCCCCGATGATGCACCAAAAATCTGGTGCAGATCGGCCGATGTAGCGAGGAGATATAGCGGTTTCATTAACCTAGGGGGCGCAGTGGAGTCAAATTACAATGTAATGCTATTGGGCTCTTTAGAGGTTCACCAGAGTCAATCATAAAAAGTCTGGTGCAAATCGGATGATGCATGTGTGAATTAGACACGATCATAGATATATGGGGAGCATTGCTATTCGCTGTTTAGCCACGCCCACACAGCTCAGCCAGCAGCCAACATTCACAGAGGTCATCATGTCATTTTATGTCAGTTGGCACAGCATTCAACCCATTTGAATCATAGAGTAAAAGTAAGACACCCAGCAGAAAAAACAGGTGACTTCCTGTTGGAAGGGGGTGGGGCTTAGGTGATGTCATCAGTTGACCATGTTAATGTGATCAAGGCTGGTCTATAATGAGACATGGGAAGTCTGACCTGGCATTTGGAAGTTATTGCACATGCATGTTTCATGGAGAAAAGTCAAAGTTTGACACTTAGCCACGCCCACATGCTTTGATGTACGAGAGATCTTTTGATAACTTTTCATCTACAATGTCTCAACAGTGTGCTGAGTTAGTTTGAAGTCTGTATCTCAAAAGCTGTAAGAGGAGTTCGATCAAATGCGATGTGTATGAAAAACAGGAAATGGCGGGTTTGATCCAAAATGGCCGACTTCCTGTTGGATTTGCACCATGGGTCCAAGAGACTTTTTTGTACGTCCTGACAAGATACACATGTGTACCAAGTTTCATATTTCTAGGTTAAAGCATGGCTTGGGGCTGATCATTTAAAATATTCTAGGGGGCGCTGGAGAGAAATTAGGCCATGCCCATCAACAACTGTTATGTCAAAATTGTGGAATCTAAAGCCAAACGTATAGCAATGGCGTTACAGGTCACTTCGCCACGCCGCCACGCCCACCTCCTCCATCAAAAACAAACGGGGTTGGAATCCACATTACACCAACATGTTTTCTGTCTGTGGACACAGTTTCATCTTGATTAGGTCAAAGGGGTCAAAAACGGACCGTTCAGAGTAAAACATGACACTTCCTGTTCTCAGGGGGCGTGGCCTAAGTGATGTCATCATTTAGCCATTGGGTATTGTAGGGCACCTGATGATGATCAAATACTGAAAGTTTGGTGCCTCTCTGAGTTATACCAGTTTTGAGTTTCATGGCAAGTAGGTGAACTTTGACCCCTGGTCACCCCTTCATCATGCACGAAAACTCACCATTTTGATAACTTTTAATCGGCCATGACTTATGAACGATCTGACCGAGTTTGAAGTTTGATCAAATGCGAAGGCTGTAAACGGCCAAAATGGGGTCAGAATCACAACTTCAATCCAAAATGGCCGACTTCCTGTCATACTTCCACTATGACATTAATTGTAAATTCTGAGCATCTTGGGGAGCTCTACAAGTGTACCGAATTTCAAGTCTCTACAATGAAGTAAGTTAATAGGAAAGGGTCTTTTGAAAATTGCTAGGTGGCGCCGTTGAGCCATTTCTTTAGCGATTTTTGCAACGACCTTAAAAAACGTAATTTTCACGCAGACTTGACGCATCCGCCAAGTTTGGTGAGTTTTTGAATATGTTAAAGCCCCCAAAAAGCCAATTTATTTTACGGAAGCATAATAATTTACAGCACAATTTCAATAGGCCTTCGCAGCGCTTAGCTGCTCGGGCCTAATTATGTTTTTATTGACTGAATTACTTTGATGGATTTAAACATTTGTGACAAAAAAAAGCCAAAGCGAATATTTTTCCTTGGCGCTGTGTATAAATGATCTCCTGAAAGTTTAACCTCATCCATGTTATTTGTTTTGACATGAATCTGTGTTGCTAACCAACGTGTCGTGTCTCGGCGTTGTTCGTCTTTAAGGTGCGGCTGTTTGACCTCCTGCTGGGTTTTCACTGTCACTCTGAAACCAAACAGGAACTTCGTCTCATCTGAGCCTCTTCCTGCTCTCGCTCTGCCGTCTCTGCAGAAAATGTTTAATTGCAACTAGTTATTCACCAATCTGCTCACCAGACCTTTCTGATTAAATTTCAGGTCAACTGACTATGGAGCAACGTACCAGAAGCTGAACGACAAAGTGGGAGCGAAGACGATCCTCAGCTACCTGTATGTGAGCCCCAACAACAAGAGGAAGGTGAGGCTGTTGCTCTCAGTCCAGTTTGTGTAAGAGCTGCTCTTGTCTGCTGCTCAGCTCCGGTGACAGACTGTGAAATGTCATTTACAGCTGATTGTGCTGATGTCTGACTCGTTGTTCTGGGTTGTCAGGAAGACGCTCAGAACAGACCTGATTGTTTGTTCACATGTAGATCCCACTAAGACTCGCAGGACGAGCTGTTCATGCTGATGAAATGGAAATCATTTGATTGGATATTTGAGGTTTTTGTCATGGAGCGGTTAAAACCATCTGTTTTTAGTTTTATTCTAATCATGTGGGTTAAAAACAAAGCAGGAACAAAGGAGATGACAGAAACCCTGGAAGATCTGGCAGTGATGTGGGAAACCGTCAGGACACAACCAGAGAGGTGGTTACTGGTGTTACTGGTTGAGCAGCTTGGAAGTTAGAATGAAGAGGTGAAGACCAAGAAGAGCACTAACAATCTAACTAAAGCACAACCAAGAAAACCTTAACATCATGATGCATTCATGCCTTTAATTTTAACTTTAATGATGAGAAAAAAAAACAAATTAAATTTTTATATATATGAAACATAAACACTGACTCACATCCTTCATACTGCTGAAGGATAACATCCTGAATATGGCTTATAAGTTTAATTACTGATTTATTTATGCACTTATTTAAAACCCTGGGTGTTTATTCACTTCTTTATGTACAGGCAGATAAATTAAATACTGATTTGTGCTCATTTTGCAGTTCTGCTCACAAGTACAACAGAAACATTTGAAACACCAAATGTCTTCCTGTTGTTGGTTCTCAGATCTGCAGATCAAATCTGGACTTCTCAACGCAAAGTCATTTTCAGTTTTTAGACAGAAGGAGATGCTGAAAACTATTTACAGTTTATTTCAAGTATTTGTAATTTAACTCTCCTGAAAACATCCCAATCCTTCTGTGGATGATTTTTGTCCTGATGTAAACGGCCAGAGCCACATCAACACTCTGTAGTCAGACGGAGCCAGTGCTCAACCCTCCCTGCTGTAGATTTGGTACTTTTGCCCAGAAACATGAAGGAATAAATGTTTGGATGAATGAAATGCTCGATCAGTCAGACAGGAAGCTGAGCAGGTAATTTCTTTCCTCCTGCTAATTGGTGGCCATTTGGAGCTGAACACGGCGGTGTGGTTCCAGACGCTGTGGACGAAATCAGATGGTCCTGGATCCAATCTGCTCTGAGACGTGTGTTTGAAACCGGATCAGATGCTCCATGCAGGATTAAAACAGGAAACTCCATTAAATTCTGTCATGTTTTGTAATCCAAGAAAAGAGAAAATGATATCCCAACAGAACCGATCCTGTCCTGCAGCAGAAGTGGAAATAAATCTGATTTGATGAGAATTCCTGTTTTTTTTCCAGCAGCTTTGGAAAAGCTCTCAGTGCAAATCAGAGGCAGCACATCAGTTATGATGAGTGTTAATGACTTTTTCTCAGCTCTGGTCCATTTAGGAAAATTAACTCGGGTTCCATTATCACTCTGGGCCACTACTGTATTTTATGCATGTCCGTTTTCAGTGGATATAATTCTGTAATTATTCCAAATGTTTCTCCCTGACACAGCAGCAGCGGTTCTCTCTTGTCCGACCTTGTTGTGTCCATTCAGACTCTCCAGCCTCTGGAGAGTTGAACATCACAGAGCTCAGATCTTTGTTCCCATCATGGATGCAGATATGCTGTTTAAAAAGCTGCTCTGATGAGCTGGACAGCACAAAGACTGCTGCATTATTTTAACTCTCTCATTTCATCAACATCTCTGTTGTGTTTCTCCCTGTGTGTCATGAACTGAATTCAATCAAACTGAAAGGCAGAGCGAGAGTAAAAACTCCATTTTTACAAGCTTTTGTTGTGTTTGCGTTGAGAGAGGTGGGACCTCGGCAAAACCACTTAAAAGGTTCAGAAGCTGTTTTAATTAGGCAGCGCTGCAGAGGAACAACAAGAGATCACAACAGCTTCAAGTCCCAAAAAATATCACGCAGTCGAGCCAAAACGCCATCTAAACCCAGAACAATTGGAATGCATTGTGGGAGATGTAGTTTGTAGTCAATTCGTGCTCAAAACCTATTTTACGTCAATCATCTGCCTATAAAATGCTGGGGGGGCCACATAAAATGACATGGCGGGCCACAGGTGCCCCGCGGGCCTTGAGTTTGACACATGTTCTCTAAACCCAGAGCAGCGAGCAGATGAAGGTCTGCAAACAGCTTGGCAGGATTGGTGAGACCAGACCCAGGAACAGATGAGTCAGAGTAAAGCTGGATGGAAACAGGCTTTTGTTTCTCCATATATCGGCTCACATGTTTGCTGTTTGTCTGCTTTCTGCCATCACGCTCGCTTCCCTTCATGCAGACATGAATACTAATAATCTGAGTCTCACGCGGTTTGAACTCCTTCCTCTCACTCTGCTCGTTGCAGTAGCGTGGCTCTGTGTCAGGACTTGAAGGTAATAAAAACAACAGTGAGTCACAGTAGCATCACCGGGAACCCCAGGGGGCCATCATCACTGTAGGTGTTGTCACACTCAGTAAATTGAATCGAAACTGACGGCCAATTTAACAGAGACCCGTGTTTGGCCTTTTTCTGTCAGAGGCTGCTGTCCTACATGTTCATCCTTCACAAATCTCATGAAAATTAATGAATTACTAACAAGCAGCACCTTATTCAGAAAACCTGTTCATTTAAAACAGGTGTGAGACAGAAGCATGTGGAATGAATGACAGTGTCACAATTCATGAAATTCATTCTCCTGCTGGTGTTTATTAAACATCATCAAATTCCCCACAAACCTCTAAAGGAGCGCCACCTGGTGTCCAAACAAAGTAACATGAGTGTTTGTTAAACATCTGGTGTAAGTAACTTTCTCCATCAGCTGGTTTTCATAGACTCAGTTTGAAACTGAAATGCTCTAATAATGGAAGCAGACCAGACTAACCAAACACTGATCTTTGCTGTGTTTGGCTCAGAGAACCATCTAAACTAAACACTTTGGTGACAAAATGAACAGAGCAAATGAACCGAAGGTTTTGGAAGTCACTCCGTTTTTTTTCTCAGCCACAGTCGTTTTGGCTCCTTGTCTGTGAATAGCTGATAGAAACAACCTTTGATTGCAGAAATAATCCTGTTTCACTTTGGTGTCGTGTTCAGCACATGCTGCTGCAGCTGAAAGTTCAGCTTTGTGTGACTGTGCTGCACATGCAGCCATGAGAAGCTCAAAATACCTGAACTTAATGAACAGACGCCTGTAAGTTTGTGATTATGGAAACAGATGAAGAGATTTACTGAAACTTGAAAAGCATAACTTGGTTCATAAAGTTTTCCACCAAAACAAGCAGCTTCACATGCAACTCTTGCTGTCAGAAGTTGCTACCATCACCAGGAACAAAATAGATAGTTGACATTATGTTGCATAAGCGTCACGTTGTTTTCAGACGTCTTTGTGCTTTACTGCCCCCTTGTGGTGGAGTTTTTTTCAGTCCATTTCCAGAGAGGACGCATGGAAAAAAGAAATCTTCTTGCATTTTCAGGCTCAGCTCCTATTAAAACAAGTTTCTATGTGTTGCAGCAGTTTGAAGACAAACTGATCGTATTCCTGTAAGGATTCTGCATCTGACACTGACTGCCAGCTTCCTTCTTCCAGCCACACAAGCAGGTAGATTTGTAAAGGAGGGTAGGAGACACGGCAGGGTTTTGATTCTTGTTCGTGCCCCCATGGAGGGTCCCATGTGACTTCTACTGGTGGGAAACAAAAGCCTCTCTTTTTACTGCAAGAGCGGGAGTAAATCAGACCTTTGAGGCTGCTGGAGACCAGGGGAATAAAACACCAGGGAGGGAGCGCCGGCAAATAAACTGACGGAGAGCAAGAGAGCGAGGAGGAGTGGAGAGGGGAGGAAAAGGGCAGCAAAAAATGGATAAATAGAGGTCTGGCCTCGGGGTCAGTGACAGAGAAAACAGGCTGGCAACACAGCAATTACATCAATTTTCATATTGTGGCTCCATGCTGAGCCCATGCATGTGAGATCAGAGCTCGAGCACACATAAGGGGAAATAATTCAGAGGTTTTGCCTGAGATTTTTTGTGAGAGCACACAATTACAGTAAATTGTCTAGGAAGCTGAGTGCTTGCTTTAAAAAAGAAGCTCACATATTGCAGTCATACAAATGGGTATAGCCTCTAATGGTTGGGAAACAAAAGGGAATTTTCTGGGGAGGCATTGAGTGACAGATGGATTCAGCTTCTGCTTTGCTCTCAGCTTGAGTGTTCTCTGTGAGGAATGCATAATACGGCTCTTTCTCTTAAATTCACAGACTTAAACAACAGCAGCAGAGCTCAGGCGTCTTCCTCACAAAGGCCTCGGTTGCCTGCCAGTCCATGTGGGTGGACCTTTGGGTTTACATTTTCACAAACACCCCCCTACACACACACACACACACACACACACACACACACACACACACACATGATTTCAAATATTAAAAGTCATATATTACATGTTAGACTGCAGCACAGCCATCAGGCAAACCCTTAGTAAAACCTTCTTACTGTCTGTATTAAAAATACTACTTATGACTTTATAATTATTTCAGTTTGTTGGTTTTCAGCTTTTAGAGTCAAGCTGTTCATTATAATTGCTTCAGTTTGCTTGTCAGAAATGGATTGCAATGAATCCTTTGAACACTAAAAGGTTTTTGTCAGCTGCTCTGATAGGAAGACAAACTTTTTGAATAACCGAGCACATCAGTTCACAAACATTTCCTTATTTTAATATATGTTGCCATATTTGCTGAATTGAAATCTGTGTATTTAACATCAGTGCAGCTGGAAGCAGAAGTCTGAAACCGAAAAGAAAGAAAGAAGGTAGCCAAATGGAAGTCAGCCATGATTAATTTCACGTCTTCTTCTGAAGTACATGAACAGAAAAGAATAGCATACTTTTTAGTTTTGTTATGCATCTCGCTTGAAGT